CTGGTTTGCATTCATGGATTGACCCATGGGATTGAGACATAACTCACTGGGAGAAGGTTTCCTGCTATGGACTAATAAGGAAGATCAAACAGTAAGCTTCCTTATGAGGAGGACACTATCTGAGAAACTTAAGAATGTTGAGGAGACTGGAACAATCTTCAGTGAGATAGTGTTGGTGGAGGTTGACACAGTATAATCTTTTTTTTTTATTATCCTCAGATCCAGTACTGACACAGTCTTGGAGCTGTTATCAATGTCAACTCAGTGTTTTAGGCATAATAGCCAAGTCTCCAGAATTTGTAGTTGTAGGTGATACCAAGGTGGCAGCATGGAGAACATAGCTGATGTTGGATTCATCTCTAATTTGAATCCATCATCATGGATTGTATCAGTGTAATATCTGAATGTACAGAAGTTTCAGTGACTAAACTTGTCTTGCATGGTGCTTGCTGATGCCAAAGAACATGCATTAGGCAGTAGAGCTGAACTTCAGTATAGGTCAAGCTTTAAAGGAAAGACTGTGGATGAGTTAGAAGTATGACAACCTATATACTGTGCTACCAAAGAAGAAATTTGCTGCTGAGTTTGGACTACTAATAGTTCTTTCTGCCTTAGCCAGTAGGAGGAACTGGCTGGGGCCTCCTAGTAACTGTGAAGATTGGAGCACTAGAAGGGATATTTCTAACATGACCACCAGTCCAGTCTGGTTTGTGAGTAGTTCAATCACCTTTCAAATCCCAAATCTGAATTGGGATTGCCTGACATTGATTCTTCTGCAGAAATTATTTCAGGCAAGCATCTCTGGCTTTTTAGGCCTGTTGGGAGAAAAATTTGCAGATGAAGCAATTGTAAAGAATGTGGCCTTCCCAAATGCAAAACTGGTGTTAAGAGATATAACATTCATACTGCCTTAGAGATGTAGCAGGACTTAAGTTGTCAATTTTTCCTTAACAATAAGGTCCGTGATTTGGAGCTGAAGATTCTCAGCTTTTTGCCTATTATTTTACATTTTGTCAACTGGATAAATAAAATAAAATTTTAAGTATTAGCACTAGGATCACAAGCTGAAGCTGCTAATTCTTGTCTGTTACAGTGGTGGCAAGAAGGAAGTGAGTGGCAAGGGAGCCCATTTGGTTATTCTGCCCTGGAATGGCAAGTGCACATAAATATACGCAGAGCCTGGGTATAGTCCCAATGGTCACTCTGATCAAAAGAAAATTATCGTATATTACTTGCAGTGTGGTCCATTTGGGTGCATACTGTGAGATTTTTTGTGTTTCAAAAAACTGCTAATAGTTGTGATTGGAGCAGTTGGCATATAAAGAAGTAGCCTATTTATTTCACAGGGTGTGAGGAGGCTCATGAGCCTCCGCAAATTTGTCTTTTAAGCAAACAAAAAGTAAAGTCTGCAATTACTGCAAGTCAGAAGAATGACAGTAGAAATTTGCTACATATGCATATGATTTTATTTTTTTAAAAAGAACTTAAGTGCTATAATGAACACTGAAGAGTAGAACATTAAACGTCAAGGAATTAAAGTTACTGGTTTTCCTGTACCCCTTTTTACTTAAAAAAAAAAAAAAAAAATCTGTTTTTGAATACTAGTTTGTGTCACCCAATCTCTCTAAATTAGTGTATCTTGGCTAATGAAATGTTTACATCTCCAAAACTTCAGCATGCTGACTTCACTGAAAGATCCCTAATGGAGAGAGGTGATTACTATTAATAGTAATCTCTTTCATAATAATTACAAAAATTAATACATACATGATTCCAACATGATTTCATTAGAAAGTTTTCCTTGCTTTCCTTTAGTTGTGGCTGTAGCTAAATTTTTATTTAAATCCTTGTTTGTCTGTATAAACAAGCTGCTATAATATTATCATCATCAGACTGGCTATAAACTAAAATCTAGATAATGTACAGCCAAGAGTTGGGAAACTACCAAGGAGGAGTATACTTACTTGGCCCACACTTACAGGGAGGCATTTAGAAAAGCCAAAGCAACTACAGACCTGAGGCTGGCAACACAAATTAAAGAAACAAAAAGTCTTTTTTTTAGGTATGTACGTAAAAGGAAGGCGTAGGGGAGCATATGACCCCTACTGAACAAGAAAGAGCAATTAGTGACAGACAGGGGGGACAAGGCTGAGGTATTCAATGAGTTTTTTGCCTCGGTGTTCCTGAACAGGGATCAAGATAAGTCTCCTAATGGGTTGTTAGATGGGCATCACCAGCCCACCAACTATTGACACTGACTTGGTGCGGAGTCACTTGGATGCACTGGATTTGTTCAGGTCAGCAGACCCGGATGAGCTGCAACTGAGAGTACTGAAGGAATTGGCCAGTGTCATAGCAGAAGCACCGGCATGGCTATTTGAGCACTCATGGTGCTTGGGTCAGGTCCCAGAGGACTGGAAAAGGGTCAATGGGGTCCCTATTTTCATGAAGGGGAGGAAGGAGGATCCGAGTAATTATAGGCCAGTCAGTCTCACCTCCATCCTTAGAAAGGTCTTTGAAAAGATTATGAAAGATCATATTTGTGGGAGTCCAGCATGAAAAATAATGCAGCATGGAAACCAGCATGGATTCGTAGTAGGTAGATCATGCCTGACCAATCTGGGTTCATTTTATGACAGGGTCACAAAATGCTTAGACACAGGAGTAGAGGTGGATGTTGTTTTCTTGGATTTTAGCAAGGCCTTTGATATGGTATCCCATCCCATTCTCATAAATAAATTAAGAGGCTGTGACATAGATGTTTACATGGTCCGCTGGGTGGCAAATTGGTTTAGTGGTCACACCCAGAGAGTGGTAGTAGACGGGTTGGTATCAACCTGGAAGGATGTGGGTAGTGGGGTCCTGCTGGTTTCGGTCCTTGGACCTGTACTCTTCAATATCTTCATCAGTGACTTGGGTGTGGGTGTGAACTGTACTCTGTCCAAGTTTGTGGATGATACTAAATTGTGGGGTGAAGTGCACACTCTGGAGAGTAGGGAACAATTGCAAGCAGATCTGGACAGGTTAGAAAAGTGGGCAGGACACAATAGGATGCAGTACAACAAGGACAAGTACAGAGTTCTTCACCTAGGGCAAAAAAATATCCAGCACACCTACTGGCTGGGAAGTGACCTTCTCAGCAGCACAGAAGCAGAAAGGGATCTCAGTCATAGTGGACTCCAAGATGAACATGAGTTGTCAGTATTACAAAATTATCAGCAAAGCTAACCGCACTTTATCATGCATCAGCAGATAAATAGAATCGAGGAGGTGATACTTCCCCTCTATGCGGCATTGGTCAGACCGCAGTTGGAGTACTGTGTCCAGTTTTGGGTGTCATACTTCAAGAAGGATGTTGATAGACTTGAGAGGGTCTAGAGGAGAGTCACTCGCATTGTTAGGAGCTTCCAGAACAAGCCCTATGAGGAGAGACTGAGGGACCTGGACCTCTTCAGTCTCCACAAGAGAACGTCGAGAGGTGATCTTGTGGCCACCTACAAATTCATTAGGGGGATGCAGCAAGGGATCGGAGATGCTCTGTTCACCAGGGCGCCTTTTGGGGTAACGAGGAACAATGGTCACAAACTGACAGAGAGCAGATTTAGGCTAGATATCAGGGAAACCTTCTTCACGGTAAGGGTGGCCAAAATTTGGAATGGGTTTCAAAGGGAGGTGGTGCTCTCCCCTACCTTGGGGGACTTTAAGAGAAGGCTGGATAGGCATCTGGCTGGGGTCATCTGACCCCAGCACTGTTTCCTGCCTAGACAGGGGGTCGGACTCGATGATCCGCTGACCCTGGCATGAGTCTATGAGTCTTAAATCTATCTTTTTACTTGTTATACAGTTAGGCCGTGTCTACGTCTGCATTTAAGCATGTTTAAGCAATTTTGCACATTAAGCAGTTTTTGGCAGGTGTCTACATTTGCAGCGACTAAAGTTAGTGCCAGGTCCCTGCAGCCCTGCTATATGCCCCTAGTGGCTGGGCAGACCCAGCACTAAAGTTAGTTTACACGTGTGTTAATGCGGTTTAATTAATTGAGACTAACTTATTGAAGGTATCTAATTTAGGCGCAATTAATTTAATATTGCCATTTTTAA